ACTTTCAATTTGTGAAAAATGTAGTATCTCCAAAATGCAATGACACAAAACACAATAAAACAAGGTATGCCTGTATAAATATAAATATAGAAATAGATACAGATGCCTGTATTATATATGGTGTGTACCTATGTGTACGTGTGTATGTATATTTCCTATCTCTGTACACTGAGAAAGACCAGAAGCAATGGTATCCCAAACAAGGATCACATCGAGTGTCCAAATCTTGGTTTCTAAATGCCATCCTCCACTAAAAAGAACTAAGTTTCCTGGAGCAGTAACTGATCCCAGAGCTGGGGCAGGAAAAAGACTGGAACATCTTATGCCAAAAAACAAAAACAGTATTCAGAGAATTATGACAAAAGCACACAGAGACCAGCTGAAAGAAAATCCAATGACCAAATCTATCACAATTTGAGTACCATAATAAATGATCAAGATTTTACAACCCCATGGGATAAAATATAAACCCAGTAGTCCATACTGATACAAATAAAATGAATCATGAATAAAATAATTGGCATGGGGGAGAAAAACTGGCAACTAATTAATGGGAAAGGAATTAAAGAAACAGAAAATAGAAAATAATGTGGTACCACCATTAATGGCTGATAATTCAAGTGGGAGTCTTGAATGTATGTTAAGGTTGGTGAATGGAGGTTCAACAAAAAACAGGCTATTAAAATAGTACTGGAATATCACTCCACAATAATATTTATCAATTGTAAGAGAAAAGCAGTGTCTTTACAGTAGAGAAACCTGGCAGACAATAACATGAACAGGTGATCAGGATTAACATCATGTCGGCAGGGCATGGTGGCTCACACCTGTAAACCCAGCACTTTGGGAGACTGAGTTGGGCAGATCACCTGAGGTCCGGAGTTCGAGACCAGCCTGGCCAACAAGGTGAAAGCCTGTCTCTACTAAAAATACAAAAACTAGCCAGGCATGGTGGCATGTGGCTGTAATCCCAGCTACTCAGGAGGCTGAGGCATGAGAATTGCTTGAACCTGGGAGGTGGAGGTTACAGTGAACTGAAATCACACAACTTCACTCCAGCCTGGGTGACAGAGCAAGACTCCGTCTCAAACAAACAAACAAAAAACAAAAGCATAATGCAGTTAGATGGGTGAACGTTGTGTGCCTCCTGTGTGATGCACAAATTACAACCCCTAACTCCTAACCCTATAGCATCATTTCTGTAGTATTACTGTCAATACGAATGGCACACATTTGATCATGAGTTAAGTTAGGAAAAAAACTAAGAAACTGTTCCATGTTGAAGGAAATTAAGGGACATGACAGCTAAATGCAGTCGATGATCCAGGACTGGATCTTGAACCAGGAGGAAGAAGAAACACTGAGATCCAGGACTGGATCCGGAGCTGCAAGGGAAAAGGAACTGCTAGTGAAATCTGAATGGAGTCTGTGAATGAATCTGTGTTGTATTAACGCTGATTTCCTTATTTGGATGGTTCGAGGGTAGTTATATCCTTCTCTTGCTGAAATACATTATGGGGTATTTAAGGGAAATAATATATCATGTCTACAATTCCCTCTCAAATAGTTCAGACAAAAAGATGAATGATAATAAACATGTGTATTTATTAGAGGAGGCAGGGAGACAGATGGAAAAATGTTGTAAAATGAGGACAATTGTGAAATCTCGATGAAGGGGATATGGGATTTCTGTATAAGACTGAAATCATTTCAAATAAATTATTTTTTAAGTGACTAACGCAAGGGACAACTCCTAAATTTCAAAGATTAAAGGATCCTAGTAAGTATGGAGATGGAAGAAAACAGATTATCTACAAAGGAAAGAAGAAATAAGGCTGCCTTCAAATTTCTATTCATAAGCATTAACTCTCATGAAGCAAATAGCAATAGTTTAAAGAAAAAAAGATCATGACTCAAGATTATGTTCTCTATTTAGCTGGTGGTTCATCATGTTTAAAAAGAAAAAAAATCCTGAGTCCTTGCTAGAATATGTGAGAATGTCTACCAACTTTACAAAGAAGTAACAAATATATCTGTTGACAATAAGTATATACATATTAAATATTTTATTAAAGGAAAAAGTACTGACACAGCAAGTCAAAAACAACAATTCAATCATGTGTTGTTTCTTAGCCACTTTTTAAATTCTCTAATAAGTTAAATAAAAAGATAAGAAACAAAGAAATAACAACCAACCAAAAGAAAGCGGAAGTCACAATAGTAATATTAGACAAAACAAACTACAAAGTAAAAAGCATTTAACACAACGAAGCAGATAAATTTGACCAAAGCAGGTACACTCCATATGAAGGCTTATGTGATCAGAAACAGCACTGAAATGTACATAACAAAGACTACAGAAAATACAAGGAGAAAGTCAGTTGTAGTGGGAACACTTTACTTCAATTCTAGTAGTCCTTAATAGATCTCAAATCAAAAGAATACAAAGGTTCAGAATAATATCAAGCTTAGTATGTCCAAATCTAACACATGTTCTTTTCTCCCAAATCTGCTTCTTCCCCAATAGTCCCCAGATCAGGTAGTAGTATTGCCATTCTTCCAGGTGCTCAGGCCAAAAACCTTCAAGTTCTCTCTAACACCTCTCTTTCTCTTATACACCACATATCGTCCATCAGAAAATCCTGTTGACTTTACCTTCAAAAATACCTAAAAATCCTCTTCCACCTTCTACTGCTACCACACTGGTCTAAGCCAACACCTCTCACTAAGATTATTTCAACATCTCTCTAGCTAGTCTCCTTGCTTCAAACCTTCCTGTCCCTTCAACTCCAATGGTCAACTCCTAACACAGTACCTGCAGTGATTCTGTTAATACAGGTCAAGTCATGTCTCTCTTCTGCTCAAAACCCTCTAATGGCTTCCTATCTCTCTTAGTAAAATTTTGCGTTTAACATCCTATGTGATCTTTCACTCTGTTGCCTCTGTGACATCATTTTTCCTACTATTCGTTCGCTCTCTTCCTCTGCTCTAACCCCCTGGCCTTCTTGGTGTTCCTCAATCAAGATGGACTCTTTACCACATTGGAACCTTTGCCTTTCATCTTCCCCCTACCTGGTACACTATTTACCCAGACAGCTGCATGGTTTGCTGTCTCATCTCTTTACATCTTTGCTCAAATGATCACTTCCTTAGTGAAGACTTTTCTGCCCACCTACCTAAAAATGTAAACTTAATTTCCCACCCTAAAAACCCTGCTCTATTTCTCTACTCTCAACACCCAACAAATCATAAACTTTATCTTTTTATATTGTCTGCCACCCTGCTCTTCCAGAAATTAAGCTGCAGGAGGGCAGAAAATTTTGTCAGTTTTGTTCACTGACACATCCCTACCCTTAAAATAATATATAGTAAATATTCCATAATTTTTCATATTTAAGAATTCCATAAATATTTAAAGTATATTCAAAAAAATATATCCACTTACGCTACCAATGAAATAACTGGACATATATCTTTGAATCTCCATCTGTATACAAATTATTCTTTTTTCAAGCACCAATGGAAAAATTATAAAAACTAAGCATCCACTAGAACACACAGAAAAACACTTAATGAATTCAAACAATAAATAATATGGGCCAAGTTTTCCAGAACAATAAAATGAAACTAGAAAATAATAAAAGAACAAAATAAAACACAACTTCTTAGAATAACAGCAAAAATTGGCTATTTAACATACACCTGATATTAAACTAAGCAAAGAACACGTATTCATCTTTGTATCAGCTTATGGTATTGGAGCTGATATCATTTTACAGATAAGGAAACTGAAGTTTAAGAACACTGAAATTTCTTACTCAAGATAATATAGTGATGCTTCCTGATCAGTGGTGAATGGGGAAAAAAAAAGAAAAAGATAATGTAGCAAGTAAGTAGTAGAGCTACAACCAATCCCAGATCCATGACCTTGGAGACCAAGCTCTTAACTAACATATTCTTAAATAATTCCTGGGTCAAAGAAAAATCGCTACAATTCAGAGTACACTACAATAACATTACACAGCAAAACCTATAAAATTAAGCCAAAACTATACTGAGGGAAATTCAATGCTGCTTCTTTATCAAAGAAAAAGCAGAAAAACACAGAAAGCATTCAAGTTAAAAGAGAAAATACGATAAATCTAATGATGGGAGAAAAATTAAAAAGTTAAAAGAATAGTGATTATTAGAAAAAAAGTATAACAGATTACAATCAAGCATGCATTTTTAGGAGCATGAAAAAATTATAAAATTCTCTATTAAGAGGCATTTTTAAACTTCAGCATGAAATTTTTCAAGTACTGAAGGCTGGGCATGGTGGCTCACGCCTGTAATCCCAGAAATTTGGGAGGCTGAGGCAGGTAAATCACAAGGTCAGGAGTTCAAGACTAGCCTGGCCAAGATGGTGAAACCCCATCTCTACCAAAAATACAAAAAAATTAGCCAGGCACGGTGGCATGTGCCTGTAATCCCAGCTACTCGGGAGGCTAAGGCAGGAGAATTGCTTGAACCCAGGAGGTAGAGGATGTAGTGAGCTGAGATTGCACCACTGCACTCCAGCCTGGGCGACAGAGCAATACTCTCTCTCAAACAAAACAAAACAAAAACAAAAACAAAAACAAAGAAAACTTTCAAGTATTAAAAATAGAGAAAATAGTATAATGGACCCAATATATCCATCACCCAGCTTCAGTAATCATCAACAGATGACTAATCTGCTTCATGTATACGCTTATCAGTTTAACAATTTTAAATACTGGAGTAGACACCTTAAGTGCCAATATTTCATTATGTTCTACTTAAAAAACTGTCACTCATTTTCTTTGTCTCTCACTTAGGTACAGCGTCTTATTAATCTCTAACTAAGGGTCTTAAAAGGTAGGTACTCAATATACATTCGCCAACAGTGACAATGGAAACAAAACATAGCACTCCTTATTCCATATTCATAATGCCATAAAAATCAAGACAGAAAAAAAACCCAAAAAACAATAGTTTACCTGAACTTCCATGAACTTCCTCCTCATCCACATCGTTATTATTCTTTCCAGACGTTAAATAATTACTATTGAGCCTGGAAGGTCCACTTAAGAAAAAAAGTAAACCACAAAATTAATGCTTTTATAATGCATATATCTAATGTATTTGCCTTAACGATCATTTTTCTCCTAAAACTGCCATAAGTCTTTCTTATAAAACCAATAGTGATGTTATAAGTCACCAAGAATATATAGTCATCCCTCAGTATTTGTGGGGGACTGGTTCCAGCGTCCACCGTGGAAACGAAAATCTAAGGATGCTCAAGTCCCTTATATACAATGGTGCAGTATTTGCATATTACTTTCACATATCCTACTGTATATTTCAAATCATATCTAGGTTACTTATAATACCTAATACAATGTAAATGCTATGTAAATAGTTGTTATACTGTATTTTTATTTGCATTATTTTTAATGTCATATTGTCACTTTTTATTGTTTTATATTTTATTTTCTGAATATTTTCAATCCATGAGGGTTGAATCAGTGGATGCAGAACCCACAGTTATGGAAGGCTGACTGTACTTGCAGCATTAAACAAAGACTACAATTTCATCCCATAACTGATGGCTGAGCATCATAAGTACTAAATTTATGACTTATAGATCAGAGTTATGGACTTAGTAAATTCAAATGATAACATACTGTGGTGAAAATCAAATTATTAAAAAAAATCATATCTTAATTAAACAAACAAACAAACAAAAAATAACTACAGCCAAAAACCAATGGAATTTAAAATATGGTCCAGAAATTGTCACAGACGATTCAGCCTCTCCCAGTCCTAGGTCTCTTTCTACCTATTATGAACCCAGGATAAGCCTAGTCATAACCTCACAAATAGTAAAGAAATCTTAGCCATCCCTTAAAAGTCTGAGAATTTGCTAAAATTTACCTTTTATTAATTTTTTAAAAGGTTATATGACATCAGATATAATTAAGAGTAGGTAATTCAATTTGATCACTAAATGTGTCATTTTAACATTGTATGTCCAAATTCTTTAATACACCACCTTTCAAGAGGTGGAGCCTAATTCCACCTCTCCCTGAATGTAGTGTGGCCTTAATCAGTTGTTTCTAATGAACAGAATAAAGTAGAAGTGACAGTGTACAAGTCATTAAAAGACACTGTGATATCCATCATAGTCACATCTTCTCTTGGAGCATGTGCTTTGTGGGAAGCCAGTTGCCATACTCAGGAGCTGAGAGGGCCACACGGTAAGAAACTAAGATCTACTGAAAACAGCCAGAACGGAACTGGGGCCTCCAGCCAACAGCGATGTGAGACATTTTATAGGTGGATTCTCCAGTTCCAGACAAGACTTTAAAGCGCTAAAACCAGAAAGATATCTTGACTGCTACCTCCTGAGAATATCCGAGCCAGAACTAGCTAGTTAAGCCTCCCAGATAGCTGACCCATAGAAACTATGAAACAGTAAGTGTTTTTAAGCCTTTAACAAAATTAAAATAAAGTTTTTGGGTAATCTGTTATACAGCAATGGGTAACTAATATATGTAACTATTATCCTTACAATACATGCATACCTTTCCTCTAAAACTAAAGTCTTACGCTCTCCAGAATCCAAGCTTGATTCTGTTGGTGTGTTATATGTATATCCACTGGTCTGAGGCTTTAGGGGAACATGCTGTGCAGTCATAACATTATCTTCCTTTTTTGAGCTTCTTGTAGATCTATAAAAACGATAAATGTATGAGTGTTTATACTTCTTCAAAATAAAATTTTCTTCCAGAAACAATATACGGGTGGGTACAAAGACAATACAATATTGGCTATAATGAATATCAAATCACCCTGTTCAGGCTCTGACATCTGCAACTAGCTAAGGAAGGAAATTGGTTTCTAGGACCTACCAAGAGTCCTAATTTGAAAAATTCTGATGAGAGGAATGGAGAAGACACCTGCCCAGGAAGGTGGTGAAAGGCACATGAGGAGATCCTATGTATAAGTGGCTTATGATATATATTACAGTTAATCTATGATGTTTTATTGGAGAATCCATAAACAACTAAAACTGTCTTCTTTGATATCCCTAGTCAGCCTACTGAGGGGCAATAGGGTCCTCACAGGGACTCAGCTCATCTCTTTGGTAGTTAGTTTATTCCAAATATATGCAAACAAGATACACTATTCCTAGTGACTGTATATTTCTTCAGGTTCTAGTATCCTCCTGGGTCCTACCATTCGAGTCAAAAGAAATAAAAGTGATTACAAGAGAATACTATGAACAACTGTATGCCAACAAATTAGATAACCTAGATGAAATGGACAAACTCCTAGAAACACACAAATTATCAAAATTGTTTCAAGAGGAAATAGTCTCAAAATACCATGAATCAGTAATCAAAAACAAACTACCCATATAGAAAAGCTCAGGCACAGGTGGCTTCACTGCTGAATTTTACCAAACATCCAAAGAAGAATTAAGACAAATTATTTACAAACTGTTTCAAAAAATAGAGAGATAATACTTCCCAATTCATTGTATAAAGCCAGTATTACCATGATACTAAAACTAAACAAAGACAACAGAAGGAAAGCAAGCTACAGATTGGAATCCCTCAACAAAATACTAGCAAATTCCAGCAACATAATAAAAAAAAGAGAGACAAAAGCAGAGAATGGCCCGAAAAAGTGAAACAGAAGGTGTATGGGATTTCTTTATGCACTATAATGACATACACTAATATATTTTAGGACACACTGCCATTTATTTCAGTATATCCTCAGCGCCTTACTGCTTCTAACACAAAGTATGTATTACCTCAGTAGGTTTTTGGAACTAATAAGAATTCATTAAAAGCATCTAGCAAATATTTGGCACATAGTATGAACTCAAAAAAATGTTAACTATTATCATCCTAAGAAGAAAAGTATTAAGCTATATTCCTAACTATTGAAATCACATTAATCTCACTTAAAAGGAAACAATTTGAACTATACACTTAAAAAAGATAAAGATAGTAAATTTTATGTTATGTGTTTTTTGTTTGTTTGTTTTGTGAATCTCTACTTTGGGAGCCCAAGGCAGGAGATTCACTTCACACCAGGAGTTCGAGACAAACCTAGGCAACAAAGCAAGACCTCATTTCTATAACAAATTAAAAAATTAGCCAGGTGTGGTGGTCTAGCTACAAAGGAAGCTAAGGCTAGAGGATTATCTGACCCAGGAGTTTGAGGTCACAGTGGGCTGTGATCATGCCACTGTACTCCAGCCTAGACAACAGAGGAACACTCTGTCTCTTTAAAAAAAAAAAAAAAGTTTAACTCTTCGACGACAATATCTTATTAAATTTAACAGTCATAATCCCAGGTGCTATGTACTACTCCCTATTTTAATATCAGGAAACAAGTGCAGAGTACTACTTTGCCTGTGTGTCACCCAGCTAATGGTAGAGACTGGATTTAATACTGGGTATGTCAGAGTGTAGAGCTCTTCATGCTAATTACTGCCTGTCTATAAATGATTAAATAGCACAAATTATTAAATGCTGAACAACAAAAGTAACTATATTATACACATAACAGATATTACCTAGAACAATCAAGATTTTTCTTTTTAGCCAAGTCTTCCTCATCACTTTCCAATGGCTCACTCAGCAAACAACTGGAAATTTCATCATGACCAACGGTACCTCCAGAACCTTTAGCATTTAAAAACTTCTGTACTCTTTGGTTGCCTTTAGTTGCTATCTTCTGCCTTTTAAGTGGAAACGTTTTTTCTCCAATATTCTTAGATGACTGATTTGTTTTCTTAGCAGATTTTTGTCTACTGTTGCGATGCACTGGTAATTCATTTCTTATTGAAGAATTGCTATAAACAGAACCTGAAGGATTCAATGATAACCTAAAGTTAGTATGTTTGTCCAGATGATTTGGCTCACTGAAATACCAACAGTATTTATATTTGCATATAAACATATACACATACACACACACACACATCTCATAGGCTAATTTCCAAATTAAATTCTTTAAACAATGTAGCTCTTCAGTTTACAGATACATGAAACAGGTCCTTCAAATCTGTCACAGGCTTCAAGAAACACTCTCTGGCTCTGCCCACCGCCCTTTTGGCCATCCTTAATATTGGATATTCCCCAAGGTGACAGCTTCAGCTTTTCACTCCATATACCTTCTTCATTACCCAAGTGGGAACAGAGGTAGTAGGCTTGACATTGACATGTTTTTTCTATTAATAATTTTAATTGGCTGAGGTCAATTCTATCATTATAAGCATTTTATATTTAATTATGTTTATTTAAGCTTCCTAGTTACTCCTACCTTCAGTCTTCCTTGCAAGAAAAAAAAAAAAAAGTTGTCTAGTCTAGTATTAAATAAGTTGGCCTAAAAAAACTGTTGAAAATTTCCGTAATTAGCATAGGGAAAATACTAAGTAAACAGAAAACTCTGCTACTGAGCAGAGTGGCAGAGGTGTTTTCAAATTCATGCTGGATAATTTGAAAGGCCCAGTCCAATGTTAAACTATGTCACTCACAATCCTTGAAATTCTTGTATAAGGCCTGTCCTGAGAAAAACCTTAAGGGAGACGTAATTTCCCTATTCATTAGATGGTATGCTCTCACTAAGCTTTTTATGAACCATAAGAATAGCTCTATACCATACTCAAATGTGTTCAAATTGGTCAACACCTGTTACAGGAGTTATGTAACCAGGCATAGTCATTAGTGGCAGACAAAAGAAAGGAACCACAGCAAGAAACTTTTAGAAGGGTCAAGACTAGGAGAGTAGAACAAGAGGGTCAAAAACTGATTCCATCTGGGAATAATATTTAGTTGGATCAAGAAAAACAACATAGAAACCATTAAGAAACTGTTGAGACTAAACCCCCAAACATATGAGAATCATCAACTTGTAGCCCTCCAAGTTACCAGATTTGTGCTGAAAACATTTAAAAATTAATAATGAAGAATAAATTTGGTTTACTTGTTGTAATATTTCTATAAGTGTGGTCAAAAGGGATGTGAGATTGTGGACATAAGTTAGAGCTGACAGTAATAAATAGCTGTGGTATTAGTTGGTTTTCTAGGAGAAAAGCCATGAGAAGAATTAACAAATTTAAACCAAAGGGTTTCAGGACATTGAATCAGATGAAAGATGAACATTAGCTTATTTTTGAGACTCACCTATTTAGGCTGTATGATGACTGGAAGGACTTGAAGGACTTATCTACCCAGAGCTTTAATTACTATCTATATGCTGATACCTATAATATCCACCTACCACTCTCCTCTAAAACTGCCTCTCTTGCTTTATTTCCTATCTTAATGAAAAATACAACTACCTATTCTATCCAGATATCTAAATCAGAAACTTGAATTATGCAAGACTACTACTCCTATCCACAATCATGCCCTAAATCCTATCAATTCTACTTTATTAATGCCTTTCAAATCTTTCAAGCTCTCCCTCCTGTCATCAGCAGAAGCCCTCATCATTTCATATCTGGATTATATCAGTCTCTTTACTAATCTCCCCCATTCTAGTCTTGTTATTTTTCAATCCATTCTTTACACTGCTGCAAGAATCACCTTTGGAAAACAAAAACTGGATCATTACAACCCTGCTTAATTATTTTAGTTATTATGTATAGCTTCAGGATAAAGTCCAAATACTTTCAACATCAATTCATATCTACATCTAGATTTGCTTATTTCATAAACTGCATCTCCCAAAACCCCCCTCCAAACAAACAAACCAAAAAAAGCCATCAGTACTGAACTACCTATAGTTTCTCTAAAGCACTGGTTGTCAAAAGGCAGTCTCTAGACCAGCAAGATCAGCATTATCTGGGAATTTGAAATGCAAATTATCATGACTCACCTCAGACCCAGAGAATCAAAGATTTTTCAGAGCAGGGCCCAGTAACCTGTATCTTAATAAGCCCCCAGACAATTCTAAAGCACGCTAAATTTAAAAAAGAAAAGATCAAGCTCTCTGCTCCAGATCTCTGCACAAGCTACTTCTACTTAAAATATTCCATAACTTCCTCCTTACTCCACTCAATCACTTAGCTAACTCCTAATTCATCCTTCAGGAAGCTTTCCCTAATTTCCAAGTCTTAGGTAGCTTGCTATCAACATATGACTGTTTACTTACCTCTACCCCGCTCCTCCAGCAGACTAATTCCTTCACCCCAAGTAATTGACTGGTATTTTATCTATGTATATTCCCAATGCCTAATGACAGAGGCAGGACTATGGTGAAACAAGAGTAGCCTCAGCTGGAAAATTCAAGAAGGTGCTCATTTTTAGGTCTGTGCAAGTACAGAACCCGAACTAATACAATCCTGTGACTGAGTGCCTTAAATTTTTCACCCTAGTGTCTCATTGTCTTACCCTAGTCCTGGTCCTACTTTACCTCATTCCTGTCCCATGGCAAGTACTCCATATACATACATTTCTTCGTATATATGAAAGGGCAACAGTGTCACATGTACTACAGGCAGGCTGGGGGCAAGTCAAGTTGTTCTTCTTAACTTCAGACTTCAATTTCTTCTCCCATCAGATGACAGTTTAGACTATATGATATATAAGGATTCCTCCACTTTTTCAACTCCCAGTTTGATCAAAAATCCAACATCTATTTCAGGACTGTTAAATAAGTGTTTTTTGATAGTTTCAGAGATCTAGCACATTTATCCAAGTTCTGTAAGAACTTATTTACCCATCTATTTATGTGCTCATCTGACACAGTTGTGATGCACTGGTAATTTCTTTAGCATTTCAGGCATCCTGGGGCAGAAAAGTGAGCTCCTCAAAGCAGTAACAGTATTATTTAACACTTCAGTACTAACATATGCCAAACCTACTATGCTAATAGCATTTAAACCTTACAAAAACTCAATGAGGTAATCATGTTACAGAATGAGAAACTAAACAAAGTAATCTACTCAAAGTGGAAGAGTGATACTTTGAACTCAGATCTGACTCCAAAATCCAAAGGCTGTAACAAAAGAAATACTTGCTGCTATCAATCAAGAAACTCAATGATTTAATAATTCATAGCAGGGAGTGGATGGATAGCATTAGGAGATATACCCAATGTAAATGACGAGTTAATGGGTGCAGCGTACCAACATGGCACATGTATACATATGTAACAAACCTGCACATTATGCACATGTACCCTAGAACTTAAAGTATAATAAAAAAAATTAAAAAATAATAATTCATAGCAATAAGGCCTCACAGATACAATGCCATAGTTGTACTAATCTTTCACTTATTAATCTAAATGCCCAACAGTCAATAGTATTTGTGTATGAGAATGCCACCTTATGATCCACCAATCTTTTCAGGATCATTTCCTTTAAAAAAGTGACAATTCTTCCAAAACAATAAATGTTTCATATTGTAAAGAAAAAAGTTAGCAAAGCAGCTCTGAGTATACTACCTTTAAAAGGGCCTGCTTTCAAAGTGAGCCCTGTAAACTTAAATTTCAGGAGTGTTCCTGTCATTTCCTATTTGGCAAATGTGGTGTTGTGGGCTTAAACCGCTTATACAAAAAATATGGTTTAGGCAAATACTGCCTTCCTTCAGGGAGTCTGGAATTGTAGTACTTGCTAGGTAGAGAGTACCTATATGACCACCCCCCATAAAGATCTTGGGCACTAAGTCTCTAGTGAGCTTCCCTGATAGACATTTTGCCTATTTGTCACAACTCATTGCTAGAGGAATTAAGCAACTCCTGTGGGAATCCACTGGGAAAGGACTCTTCAAGCTTCTGCTGATTTCCTCCAGACTTGGCCCATGCACTTTTTTTCCACTGAATTTGCACGGTATCCTTTCACTGTAATGAATCACAGCCACGAATACAAATATATGCCCAATTATCCTAGCAAATTACCAAATCTGAGGGTAGTCTTGGGAACCACCAACACAAGTAATTTACTTTTTTATGTGTAATGAACTATAATCTTGTAGATTATAAACTCCTTGGTGGCAGAACCTCATATGATCAATCTTTGTATCCCTCACAGCCAAGACATTAAAATAGCTGGATTATTTATATTGCCTTTCCCAACTAGAACATAAGCTCCATGAGAGCAGGGATTTTTGGTTTGGGGTTTTGTTTTCCCATAGCTATTATCCCTCTACCTAAAATACTGTATGTATTAAAGCTTTAAGGAATATCTTTACAACTGATTTAATATTCCTTTTGATGACCCAATTTAACTTGGTCCTCATGATATTCTCTCTATAGAAATATAAAATCAAACATAATGTCCCTTACAGAATGATTTTATCTATGAACAAACATAATTTAAATAAAAATACTTACTCTCCTCTGATTTTACCACCCACCAATCAGATGGACGTCTGGAAATTCTTCGACTTCTCGTGACAGTTGAAATCACTTCTTCAGGCACAAGTTTGTTCTTGGACTCATTGGAAAAGTGCTTCTTTTTAGCTTCTCCCTTATCTTTTCTAGCGCTACTTTTCTTGTTTCCTAAAATAAAGAAAACCATAAAACCAATTCACAATCTACTAAAAAAGTTTTCAGAAAACCACAAGATTATTAAAAAAAAAAAACCCCTCAATTATAGGAACTTCTTAAATTTATCCTGTGGCCTTCTTTTCATGTCTATTTTTAAAAGTCACATGTTCTCTGTCTGTCAATTATACGTGCTGCTGAAGTAAGCACTAACTTCCTATTAAAAACTGAAAAAAAAATACAGTTCCTTCCTACAACTTCCCAAGTAAAATTAGGCAATTACTGCTTTCCTGTTTAGAAATGACTTTTTTCAACCTAAGAAGAGGAGATTTAAAGTGTGATTAAATTATAAACTCTGAAATAGAGGCATTATTTTGCATCATCCAGGCTGACACAATCTAAGTATGTGTCCTTTAAAAGCTGTGGTCAGAGAGATGAAATGATGGAAGAAGAGGCAAGATAAATTCAAAACATGAGAGGGCTGGTATTGCTAGTTTTGTAGATGGTGGAGGAGGACCATGAGTCAAGGAATATAGGTAGTTTCCAGAGGCTAGAAAAGGCAAAGAAACAGATTTTCTCCCAAAATCACTAGAAAGAAAGAAAACCCCACCAATACCTTGATTTTATCCCAGTGGGACATCTGACCCACAGAACTGTAAGATAATCAATGTTTGTTGTTTTAAGCCAATAAGCGTATAGTAACTTGTCATATGACAGCAATAGAAAATTAATACAACTGGCATGGTAATTTTTTTTTTTTTTGAGACGGAGTCTCGCTCTGTTGCCCAGGCTGAAATGCAGTGGCCAGATCTCAGCTCACTGCAAGCTCCGCCTCCCGGGTTCATGCCATTCTCCTGCCTCAGCCTCCCGAGTAGCTGGGACTACAGGTATCCGCTACCTCGCCCGGCTAGTTTTTTGGTTTTTTTTAGTAGAGACGGGGTTTCACTGGGTTAGCCAGGATGGTCTCGATCTCCTGACCTTGTGATCCACCCGTCTCGGCCTCCCAAAGTGCTGGGATTACAAGCTTGAGCCACCGCGCCCGGCCTGGCATGGTAATTAATGACAGCATTATATTCACTAACCAATCTAGATACAGAATATATGTAAAAATTAGTGTGTAGAATATAGCAGATACTCAGTAAATATTTAATATTGACAATTATAGAGAGCATCCTTCAAGTGTACTTCCTTCATATGTCTTTTCCTAAGAAATTATGGATAAATCAAAATTTTGTACCCTCCCTTTTAATCCTATGCATGTATGTATATTATCTATTGTTCTACGGAACCCACCAGAATGATCTTGTTAACAGTAGAAATAATGGGTTAGTAATTTTTGTGATTACAGTGCCTAATGCAGTGTATGGCATTCAACAACTGTTAGATAAATGAGTGAATGATGGAAGAGAATGGATTTTTATCTCTATAAAAAATAGTCCCATGGTACCCTAGGATTTTTTTTAACATTTTTATTTTCTAAAGAATTTATCATTTGTCTTATTCATGTTCTGATACTAACTTGTTTACTAGCCTTTCCTTTTCACTTTGCCCTCTATGTATACTGCCATCTCACAAGGTAAACAAAAACTATGTAAGTTAGAATTAAATTATATATAAAATAAAAAGATTCTAGAAAAAAACTTATAGGCTTTTCGGGCTCTTTGTTCATTTAGGTTTACTTTGCCTACTTGCCAAAGTTAAGTTGGGATATTAAAAAACATAAAATGCGTAGAATAATAATCACAGTTATATTTAATATAAACACTTACCCACAGGTGACATCTGTTTTTTGGAAACACAATCATTTCCTATCTCTTCACGCTCTTCTATATTTCTGTCTGAATTTCTTTGAAATTTGTCTTGGGTAGTATGTGACATACGTATGTTTTCATCTTTAGACTGTCCCACATCAAGCTGTTCTTCAGCTGGTTTAGCCTTAAATTTTCTTCTCTGTTTTTGTTTTATAGTCCTTTTGCTTCCAGATGATTTTTCTGCATCCTTGGAACACATTTCATATTTTGCAGATTTACAATCATTTTCCGTTTCACCTGTCAAAGCATAACTTGTATCCAGTACTGTTTTATCAGAGGACTGAGATGGTTCTACTGGGTGAGGTTCATGAGAATGTTTGCCATTTGCCAAAGTCTTAGGTAATATATTATGATGCTTTTCTCTTGACTTTCCATTTTGAAGCAGTGCAGTGCTCTCAGCCGGAGATATTGGGCGTTGTTTCAGAGGCCCTGCCTTTCTTGGTATTGTAATCCAAGATCTACTGGCAAAACTTTGATCTGACTCATCAATTATAAATTCATCCTCTATCACCTTCTTATCATCGGGAGGACACGAATGAGGTGGAGCAGTTGCCGCATGCCTAACAACGGGACTGAAACAGGGTGATACTTTTAACAGTTCAAAAAAATAAAGCTTTTAGATTTGTTTAGTAAAGAAAATCATCTAAGAAATAAAATCTAAATATCTTTTAAACAGTTTATGCATCTCCTCAATTTACACTTAATCGTACAAATCTTTCCCTCCTTTTACATTTCTATGCCTGTTCACCCTTATTTATAATAGTAATGACATCATAAAAATGTAGAACTAGAAATCTAGACATCAACTAATTTGATCCCACCCACCCACCCATTATATATACTAAAACTGAAGCCCAAAGAGATATAATTATAACCCAGATACATTGACTCACAGTCCAAAATGAATGCCACTATTATATATAATCTTATATTAAATTACATATTTGTATATATATCTTTTGGGGTCTGAATTTCTTCACATTCAAATGAGCCAACAAGATTATTTCTGACAACACTCCAAGTCTAATATTTGACTTGGACTACTACTAAATTATAAGAGATTGGGGAGGCCAGGTATGGTGGCTCACATCTGTAATACCAGCACTTTGGGAGGCCAAGGCGGGTGGATCACCTGAGGTCAGGAGTTCAACACCAGCGTGGCCAACATGGTGAAACCCCATCTCTACTAAAAACACAAAAATTAGCTAGGCATGATGGCGGGTCCCTGTAATCCCAGCTACTTGGGAGGCTGAGGCGGAAGAATCGCTTGAACCCAGGAGGCAGATGTTGCAGTGAGCCGAGATCGTGCCACTGCACTCCAGCCTGGGTGACTGAGCAAAACTCCATCTCAGACAAAAAAAAAGGGAGAGAGATTGGGGAAAATTTCTTCCTATCTTTTTTTACATTCCACAGTTCTTCACATATGGCAACACCAAATACACAGATGGTTGAATGAATGTAAAAATTACTAATATTACTATAGGACTATAAATTGTAGACCCACAGAACTATAAAATAATAAATGTTGTTTTAAGCCGCTAAGTGTGTAGTGACTTGTTATATGACAGCATATGTGTAAAAATGCATTTCGTTTGGATATTTCATATGTATTTCCATATTATAATCATGGTATAGAAATAAATGGAGTGCATCTAGAGAGGTAGCATAAGCACAAAAGAAATCTAGTGCCACAGAAACAGGAAAAAATAAAAGGCAAGTCTTATCACAAAGCATACAATGCTATAGAATGTCATAAATAATGTAGTCAATGTTTCCCAACTCTAGACCTTTCTCCATAGTCCTAGCCCAAACTACGTATTTTACTAAAAGGCAGAAAGCCTATATGATGAATATTATTGTTGTTTCCCACGCCAAATGTTGTAAAAGGATAAAGAGTAAGACAGACAATTTCAGCTACTATTTTACGGCTTATAATCGAACATCAACATTAATTCTTAAATTTTCATAAAAGCATGTACATGTTAAGTACATACAAAGAGAGTCATGCATTTAATGAGGTGTTGAATAAATTAAGACTAGTGCATTGAAATTACAGAGTACCTCCTCCAATTAGTCGGAAAAATTTCCCAGAGAAGGAAGGAATTATTCCAAGGATGGTAATCTGATAGACTAATTTTACATTTCCCTGATTGTTTTAATAGCTTTGAGCACACCACATATTGCAGTGAGATACACAAAATAAAAAACAAGGTAAACATCCAAACTCCAAAGCTGGCATACGCACTCGTTTCCACTTTTTCACTTGGATAAGGCTCAGTTAGCTGTGTTTAGCCATAACAGAAACAAAGACAGAATGCAAAAATTAGATTATGTTTTTCTCTTTTAATTAGAACACACAAAAGGAATCAGAAATGAAAACGCCTTTATTCCTCTAATCGTAAACTCCTGACAAATCTTATAATGTAAAATAGTAAATACTCTAAGAAATATACTCTCTAACAGTAGCATTTCACAAATTTATATAATTAGAAAACTCTATAAAAACTAATAAAGAACAAAGTCAATACAAATACTATAATGAATGTATGTTTAACAGAGATGATATCCTTAGGAAACAACCTTGACACTATGAAAGTTTAGAATAGGGAAAGATGGCTTCTAATTTGCTAGAAAAACCATGAAAGGCTTTGTAGCATTTAGGCTGGCTGTTGAACGATTTATAAGATTTGGTCACAAGGAAATGCAAGAAAGACAATCAAAAGGAAGAGCATAAGTGGAAGTAATGAGGCTAGAAAGCACTGGGAATAATGAATGGTTATATTTGACAACAATTAAACATAAAATTAACTTTACTCACTAGAACATCAAAAAGAACATTAAAAATAATCTCTCAGACGTAATATAATTAGCCCACAAGTATAACACATTTGTTTCAGACGGTGGTGACAATATCCATATGAGGTTTAAAATATATACATAAAAATTATTAATCAACTACAGGAAGCGGAAGCAGAGACTGAACAAAAAGGGAATTTCATTCATTCATTTTAACATGTTTTTATAAAAACTTCCTTTTTATTTTTGAGACAGAGTCTCACTCTGTCACCCAGGCTAGAGTGCAGTGGCGCAGTCTCAACTCACCGCAACCTCCACCTCGCAGGTTCAAGTGACTCTCTTACTTCAGCCTCCCGAACAGCTGGGATTATAGGCATGTGCCACCAAGCCCGACTAATTTTTGTATTTTTAGTAGAGATAGGGTTTCACCATGTTAGTCAGGCTGGTCCTGAACCCCTGATCTCAAGTGATGTGCCCACCTCGGCCTATCAAAGTGTTAGGATCACAGGCGTGAGCCACCGCATACAGCAATAAAAACTTCCTAGTATGTTCACTAGCACTCTGATACCTATGATAGTGACATAAGGGCAGCCTAACATAACAATGTCTAAATACAGCATTGCTAGTCAGGTGTGGTGGCTCATGCCTGTAATCCCAGCACTTTGGGAGGCCGAGGTGGGTGGATCACCTGAGGTCAGGAGTTTGAGACCAGCCTTGTCAACATGGGGGATATTCCATCTCTACTAAAAATACAAAAATTAGACAGGTGTGGTGGCAGGTGCCTGTGATCCCAGCTACTCGGGAGGCTGAGCAAGAGAATCACTTGAACCCGGGAGGCGGAAGTTGCAATGAGCCGAGATTGTGTCACTGCACTTCAGCCTGGATGACAGAGAAAGACCTTGTCTCAAAACAAATACATACATACATACATAAATACTGCATTGACTTCATTCTTTGATATTACACAGACAAACTAGAAGGCAATGAAAACTGAATGAACCTGTTTTCTTTCAAGTCTAATTTAGTATCTATTAAAAAATGGCTTTGGGAGTGACTCACTGACTGGTAAAAAACAATCTCTCCTTACAAGTCAGACAAAAATTTCAACTAAAATATTTGTTAATTAAATTACTTATTTCTAAGTTAAATAGCATTAGGAATCCTCATATATGGTTCATAGAATTAAAAAAAAATGCCTCAAAGGCAAGTTTCCTAATAACTCACCTGGATTTACTTTTTCGTTTTACTGTTTCTAAAAACAATGTTGAAAAACTTTTTTTAGCTTTTCGTTGAATTTCATATTCTGAATCTCGTGTTATATTCTGAGATGATCCTGATGGTTTTCTTTCTTGTCCTTCTGATGTTTTATACTCTTCATCTGATACTTTATTATCTATTTCTATTTTTTTTAACATAACTTTATCTTCAAAGTTTAACCTAAAAGGTTAAAAGGAGGGTAAGTTGAATGCTCCCATAACGTTTCTTGAGTTACAAGTCTTCCTGAACTCCTTTACAGAGACAATACAGACCAATTTAAAATTCTGTACTAGGCATTTATTTAACACATAAATGCTGATTTGTGCATTCCAAATACACAAGATAAACTGCTCAGGAAGATTAACTTTTGTATTTATCAACAGAAAAACAGGAAAGAGAAAATAATGGTTAAAGTATACATCAATGAAATGTATAGCTAGGCAATGGTTCTCAGGGCAATCTTAGAGCACTGTGACAGACCAAACTTTGAATATCAAAGTCTTAGAATATACTTAACTCCTTGGCTCCAGTAATCACACAATACTCTACATAGAAATTACACTCATTACAGAGATCTCCAAATGCAAAAGACCTTGAATAATCTACTTTGCTTCCTAAAGGCCAAAGGTAAGGCCAAGAAAGAGAAACCAGCTGTCCACAAAGCATAGCATCCTCAATAATACTTATGCACTGCTACCCTAGAAGTGACCTGATACATATTTACACTTGCAATTACAAAAAATATTGAGAAAATACAAATTGTTTCTCTTAGGAAGCTATCAAATACTATCAGAGAAAAAACACATTTTTCCAGAGTATAGAAAAGTTAACCTCCAAACTTCTCTGAAGTACACTTTAAGGCCTTCCTTAATTATTATAAACTGAATATATGCTAAATGTATACTTTCTCATAACGTGTTAATATTCCTCCTTCCTTACTGTAAAATAATATAACAAGATTGAATTATCATTTTTTAATACAAAAAGTAAAATTTTAAAAGTGCAATTAACATTATTTAAATAAAATGTTACCTTTTTTTGGTTTTAAGTGAAACCTCTGTACTTGAAGGCAGCGTATTTACTGAATTTTCAAAAGTGTAAGTCTCTCTCTTTTGGGCACTAGATGGAATAACATTTTGCGATACAGATGTTTTTGCATCCAAAAGAACAGAAGGTGAGCCAACAGATAAGTAAAATTCTTCACCAGCATCACTGTGATAATCATTTATGTTTCTACTTGACATCTTTTTCGAGCCAGATGTATTTTTGGAACTAACATCAGTTGCCAGAATTTTCTGACGAACTTCATGGGCCTGAACTAGAAGAAAATTACATAAAGATACTTGTCAATTAAAAGAATAATAAGAGAATCAAGCAGGCTTTTTAAAATTCTGCAATAATTTAATCAGAAATAGTTTTCAGAAAACTCAAAGTCATTAAGATTAGAATCAAAGGTCTATGATTTAAAAAAGTACTTAAGATTTTTCTATCTTTGGGCTAACGGTGACCTAGGGCAGTAAGATGATCACATATTTACACATACACACATGGAATATAGATATAACAGATATATAGAGATATGACATAACCATGTGTGTATATATGCATAAACAGTATATATGTATATGAATATTTATGTATAATGAGAAAATATAAGAGAATATATACATATTCTCTTAAACCTCACCCTTCAGAATGAGATGGCATTTCCCTGCTTCTCCCTGTAAATACAACTAAATTCCCTGGAAATTATCCATCAATCAACAACAGGACTCTGAAAGCTGGAAGAAAAAAAGGTAGACTAGCTAGGAAACTCAAGACCAGGAAAAGATAAGCCTTGGGTTTTCTGTCTATCTCCCATATACCCCTGGACTGGTTACTGGAGAAGCCTATAACCTGGAACCACCAATAGGTGAAAGACAGGGTGGAGGCTGGGTGGAATTGCATTCTCTGAACAAGGTAAACCCAATGAAGACGTAATGAGGAAACTCAAGCCCCATTCAGCATTGTGGGCCATGGAGCACTCCTTACTACCTGCATTGGCAGAGCAACAAAGCCCTGGGCTGTGCTATGGGACTGTAGCAGCAAAGGAGCTCATACCAAGCCAGTCCTGCTTCCATAATCATAGATGGCAGGCGGTATGACCCACATGATGCTGTAGAGTAGTGAAACTTCTGATCTTCACAGCCCAAGACAACATTTTGATCCACTGATAGTATTGACACCCAGGCCATCCTAGTCCCTACTTTACAACCAGGGCACCAGCAGACAGTCTAATCTGAGGCAAGAACAGCGTAAGAGAGGGCAGCATCCCCCTGTCCTCCACCCAATGATATAAGGAAACCAGGCCCAGCAGCTTCTAACCAGAACCCCACACAGGTGAACAAGGACATCAAAAGGTATCTTCCAACCACCCCAGACAGCACCAACAGGAACTGAGCTAGAATCCTAACAGCATCAGAAAATGAAATAGAACAAAACACCACTGCTATTACTCTGAACACTTAACTATCACTGAAAATAAAACTCATCAAACTAAGAAAGAGGGGCTGGGCGCAGTGGTCCATGCCTGTAATCCCAGCACTTTGGGAGGCCAAAGCAAGTGGATCACTTGAGGCCAGGGGTTCAAGACCAGCCTGGCCAACATGGCGAAACACCATTTCTACTAAAAATAGAAAAATCAGCCAGGCGTAGTGGCACATGCCTGTAATCCCAGCTACTCGGGAGGCTAAGGCATGAGAATCACTTGAACCCAGGAGGCGGTGGTTGCAGTGAGCTAAGATCATACCACTGCACTCCAGCCTGAGTGACAGAGCAAGACTCTGTCTCAATAAATAAATAAATATACAAATAAATAACGCAAGAACCTACACATTAAACCAAAACAGGGCAACTATGTGCTGTAACAAAAGATTTAAGTAGTCTAAGAATCCCCTAACATAAGTAACCAAATCTCAGGAATACAATCAAAACAACTCATCATACCAAAACCAAAACAAACCAAAAAAAAAAAAAAAGAAATAATGATCAATAGACATAAATAAATGAGATGAATCAGATTTTAAAATTATTTAACAAGAAATTTTAAAGCAAACATCATAAAATGCTTTAATAATTACAAATCCTCTTGTAACAAATGAAAAAGAAACTCTCAAAGAAGTAGCATTTAAAAAAAAAAAAAGACAGTTTTTTGGATATTAGCCATTATCAGTAAGTAGTGGTTTTTAAATGTTATTTTTAATTTTCCTAATAACAGTGATGTAAAACAAATCAAAACCACAATGAGATACTACATCACACCCATTAGGATGGCTATTATTTATAAAAACAAAAGATAACGACTGTTGAATTAGAAAAAATGGAACCTTTGTGCATGCACTGCTGGTGTGCATGTAGAATGACAGTCACTATGAGAAGTGTACACTGAATCCTTAAACTTAAAATTGAAAGCAGGAACTCAAACAGACACTTTCACACCAATATTCATAGCAGCATTACTCACAATAGCCAAAAACTAAAAACAACCCAAGTTCCCATCAACAGATTAATAGATAAAAAGCGGTATACACATACAATGAAATATTACCCAGTCTTAGAATGAAATTCTGACACATGCTACAAAATGGATGAACCTTGAAGACATTATGCTAAGTGAAATAAGCCAATCACAGACAAATTTTCTGTCTGAAATTCATAGACAGATAAAGTAGAATGGTGGTTGCCAGGGCTGATGGAAAAAGAGATACTGTTTAATGGGTACAGTGTTTCAGTTTTGAAAAATGAAAGAAGTTCTATGGATTCATGGAGGTGATAGCCTCACAACAATGTGAAAGTACTTAATGCTACTGAACTGTATACTCAGAAATAAAGTGGAAAATTTTATGTTTATATTATATAATATTTGAAAATACATTTCTTTAAAAAAGAGCAAAGGAAGTGATGTGTATATATAAACAAACTAAAACAAAAAGTCTTGTAAAGTTAAAAAATATTAAAATACACGATAACAGAAATAAGTAACAGTAGTATTTAAGTTGGGAATTCATTGTTTCAGTTACTATTTCTGCATAATACAACTTCTTAACTTGGTTGCATAAAACAACCATTTGTTATGTTCATGGATTCAGTAAGTCAGGAATTCAGCAGAGCACAGAAGGGATGGCTTCTTCCATGAAGTCTGAGCCCTGGAATCATCTGACAGCTTGTTTACACATATTTGACACCTGGTCTGGGCTGCAGGGTGGGAGTCTTTCTCTCCATAATGGCTAGTTTGGGCTTCTTCATAGCATATTGTCTGGGATCCAAGGGCAACTGGAGAGAATGAGAAAGAGAGGAAGAGAGACAGATCCAGCATGCCAGGCAGAGCCACATAACCTTTTATGACCTAATCATGGAAATCACACGTATTATATATGCCACATTTGATGTATGATATGTAGAACCAACTTCACTGAAGTGGATGGGGGGAAAAGGTGATGACCTAAGAAAGATCAGAAGTGAATCGAAGGCTAAGTGTGGTGGCTCATGCCTGTAATCCCAGCACTTTGGGAGGCCGAGGTGGGTGGATCACTTGGGGTCAGGTTCAAGAAGAGCCTGGCCAACATGGTGAAACCCCATCTCTACTAAATATACAAAAAGTATCTGGGCACAGTGGTGCGTGCCTGTAATCCCATCTACTTGGGAGGCTGAGACAGGAGAATCACTTAAACTCAGGAGGCGGAGGTTTCAGTGCAACCAAGATTGTGCCATTGCACTCCAGCCTGGGTGATAATGGCAAAATTCCATCTCAAAAAAAAAGGAATGAATCTGCTAGGCATGGTGGCTCACACTTATAATCCTAGCCCTTTGGAATGCTGAGGCAGGCGGATAACTTGAGGTCAGGACTTTAGGACCAGCATGGCTAACATGATGAAACCCCATCTCTACTAAAAATACAAAAAATTAGATGAGCGTGGCGGCTGCTGCCAGTAATCCCAGCTACTCAGGAGATTGAGGCAGAAGAATCGCTTGAACCCTGGAGTCAGAAGTTGCAGTGAGCTGAGATCATGCCACTGCATTTCAACCAGGGTGGCAGAGGGAGACTCTCTCTCAAAACAAACAAACAAACAAAAATGAATGGAGTCTGTAAGACTGAAGGCAAAAGAAACTGTATATAAGCACTATTTTCTAGTTGATAAAACTGGTTTCCACAGGATATGAGTCAACAATTCTGACACTCTTTTACATGTATACAGAAATGTAAAAGATAAGTAAATGGATGTTGAACGGTGAATGCCCAGTTTCTCATTCATGTAATGGGAGTTTACAGATAAGCAAGAGGAGGAGGCTAGAATAATCCACATGGTAATGGATTAGAGTCAGAGACATCAATATGAACTTATGATTAGTTCAACATAGATACAGATAGTTACATTTAAAAATATTTATAGATATGTGCTGATACACAAGTTAGCATACACACACATACATTTACCCAGCTTTATCAGTTGAGAGGGTCTAGAAGCAACAACTCTACAGGAGTGACAGCACACCTAGCACTCAGATCTTGGTTTCTAATACCATTACCCAGTAAAAGAAATCATGATTTCATGAAGAAACGGTTGATTCTGGGATGGGGCAGGAGAGCATCTTGTGGCTCCAAAAGGTATGAAAGTGCTCAGAAACAACAACAAAAATGGGCTACGTCAAAGGGACACTGGAACCAAAGTAAGAGCTTCTATTAGCCAAATCTGGAACAATTTGAATAACAAAATAAACAGTAATGAATTATAAAGCAGAAAATAAAATTTCTCCATCAAGAAAAGAGCAAAATAAACCCAATCAAGCAGAAGGACAGGAAAAAATAAAGAGCAGAAATCAATAAAACTGAAAATAGAAAAATACAGAAAATTATTGGGGGAAAAAAACGTACAAAATGATAACAAAAGTGACAACCATAAGAAGACACCAACCACCAATATGTGGAATAAAATAGGCGATGATATCACAATAGATTTTGCAGCCATCAAAAATAGGGTAATGCTTCACTTTGAAAACTGGCACAGACAAGGATGCCCTCTCTCACCACTCCTATTCAACACAGTACTGGAAGTTCTGGTCAGGACAATCAGGCAAGAGAAAGAAAGAAAGGTTATTCAAACAGGAAGAGAGGAAGTCAAACTGTCTCTGTTTGCAGATGACGTGACTGTATACTTAGAAAACCCCATTGTTTCAGTCCCAAAATTCCTTAAGCTGGTAAGAAACTTCAGCAGTTGGGAGGGTCTCAGGATACAAAATCAATGCGCAAAAATCACAGCAGCAGCACACCAACACGGCACA